ATACATATATATATCTAACTCGCATTTTTACAAGCTTAGAAAACTGGGACGAGCGGGAAAATAGTTTTATTTGTTGTTGTTACATCGTGTCGTTTTATCTGAACCAAACAGGTTTCACAATACAAAACCTTGCTGAAATGGGTTTTACTGTCAAGTATCTCAATTTAATATACAATAATGTTATTAAACTGAGTTTATATATTGGAATCAGAAGTACATCTACTCTGTCAATACATTTTCAGCCCTCTTTTTTCCCCACAGTTTTCTCAGTTGTACATTAAAGTCATTATCTTTAATTCTAGTGAGTTTGTATTTATTCTAGCTCCTCTGCTTTTCTCAATAATTAAAGTATATTCTGGTATTTCACTGCCCCGTTATAACGCTAATTTTTCTGCAGTTTCGCTGCCGTCAATGTTGGACTAAAATCGTGATTTTAATCACCAGATCATTACATTCTTTGATGCGTAAATTCTTCCGCTGACGACGAATCTTGACGTTTGAACAAGCGGACAACGTGCAAAGCGTTTGTGATGGTTTGCTTCACCGCCTACAGCTCGGAGATTGGAGCTCAAAGTTTGACAATTCTGCTTCCATTTTGAAGAGGAGTATCTCTCAAGATTATTGAGCCAGTCGAGGCAAACGCATCTAGAAAAATAAAACGAAAAAAATGGAAAAGAAAGAATGTCAAATTTGTAAAAAAATATATATATATATTTTATTCATAGGTAAACCCTTTTCCTTTATCTTACTTCCCTTGATTAAAACATCCCCCAGTGGGCCAACAAAGACCCACAGGAGGGAGAGTGATTTGCATGTTTGTTCAACTCCCTTAAGTTTCAGTTTCGGGAACGTGTCAGTTTGAGTTGAAAAAAATCTCAAAACATCTTCAGAAAATACGAGCGTAAACTGTCCTTCCCAGTAGGAGCTGGACAAGACATCTCCGGGCCAGAGAAGATACATAACCCGTCCCGCAAGTTCTGTGTTCTTTGGCGTTTTGAACCATATTGGCATGGTCTGCCTTAGAGGAGCTAATGGGAGTGAGTGTGAACCCTAGAGGCCATCTTATCACTAGCAAACGCTTTATTTTCCCACTCTGGGAGTGAACTGTTTGTCGGATTCAGTTTGGGTCGGTGGCTCCTCACATTGACGAAGTACTTCAGATGAAGGACGAAACATCTCAGCAACAAAATAAACCAACCAAATGACCTGGCTGAATATCATTGGGTACAAAATAAAGCACCAAAAAGTGAAAAGGTTTCGTATTTACAAGGTCCAAAAGAAATATAGTAAACAACAACATGGTAGCATTTAACGGTGCAAGTAGGATGAATTTATATAAATAAGAATCAGAATCAGCTTTACTGTCATTGTACAGAAAAAGTACAATGAAATTTTGTTCCGTACAGCCGTCTGTACGGAACATAATTTACTTGTTTCAAGGAAGACGTGAAATAAGTATTTCACATGTAGTAATTTAGGCTTAAATGCACATGATAAATATTGCACATAACATACTGTATACTACACAGACAGATTATTGCGCAGGTAGTGAGTTTACCCCTACACAATTGCATAATTGCACAAACATGCCACACAAATACATCGAAGTAGGTGTTTTTGAATATGATCCAAGTGATCACTGTGTAGTTGGTGATGTTAGAGATACTACCACTAGGGTGGGGGGAGCTTTCCTGTGAGCACTTGGTGTTCGAGTCTTGGTTCCTGAGGCTCAGCCGGCCCAAGCTCCTAAAAGAAACCCGTGGAGGTGGTTGGGTAGTAGGCAAGCAGGGCAGCAGATGAGGGAGGGACACTGGCTGAGCCGGTTCCTGGTGACCTAACCCGCCACCGGGCCAGCACTAATATGTTACCGTCATCATGGGAACGTGCTTAACAATCTAAATGACCCAAAAACCCAAATGAAGAATATCATTGTGTCAAACGCTTTTCACGATGTAGGAGGTGAAACGATCTATATCAGGGGTGCTGCAGCACCCTCAGTGCCCCTTCTTCCCGCAGCCTTGTATTTAGAAATAAAGCTGCTTCTTTTTTTGTTTTGTTTAAGCAATCTAATCTGTTTTGGTTTATTGGAGAGTTATGAGACCAAGACACCTTTTTTCCCCACAAACACCTTTTATCTGAGTTATCCGAACAAAAAATAAAATAAAATCACTGCAGCGCTCCAATCTGAAGGCACGTTTGTTAAATTAACGTGATGGTTTTGTTTGCGACCAACACATAAACAGATTAATCAAACTCGATATTTGTTAACTAAAATGAACAAAATGTCTTATTCAACACGGAATATGCTGATATCATTATAGCAAGCTTTTCCAACTTCTTGACTTTTCTAAGTATGTTGACTAACCCGTAACCTTTTTAAAAAACGAGTCATTAGAAAACCGAGCGGAGCAGATCTGTGACAGTTTGGTTGGAGTTCAAACAGTCTTCGAGCAGCTGAGGAGAAAATGCAAACAGTGTTGCAACCGTCCCTCAGACTTTCTGATCATACATTCTTTTCCACCTCACATGACAGATTTTTGTCACTTTTCGACCTCTTTGTCCGAGCATCCTGCTTTTTGTCCGTCGGATTAGCTCAGACATTTCCCAGGTAATCAAACGTATCAATAATAGTAATCTTTGTGCACCTGTAAACTCCTGTTTTCTTTGCCTCTTTGCACACAATGAGACATTTATCAGTCGGTACCTAAAGGTGAAGGCTGTAATTACACAACCTGGCACGGTCAAACATTGACTCCTTTGTGTTTATTTTCATCTTTACAAACAGCGCTCCCCTTCTTTTCTATTGGACCAGGAGCATCTCTTGACCTTCAGTCATACATTTTATTTTAAGTAGCAACAAGCACATGTGGGGTTTATTTCCTTTTGTTACAACAGTGCATGTCTGCGTGATTGACTTAGTGAATTATTTACAGACTTATCTAAAAAAGACAAGTCATTGATGGGTGAGAAAACACGATTAATGACAAATGCACCAAGGGAATGATTTGTCTTGGACTCGGCCACCGACTTCGAGGGGAAGCTTATCTCCCGCCAACTTGCGTGCCAACGTTTTAAACAAAAGCCTTAAGTGATCTGTTAGTGCTTAAAGTATGTGGTGTGACTGACTCTCAGATACTGCCACGCCAAATCTTGGTTCAGTATTTATACAATTGACTAAGTTGGAGCCATTTTTGTGTTGCAGCTGTGGCGGCCATCTTGAACTGAATTACCTCTAGAAGGTAATCAGCTGTAGACGTTCATCTACTGGTTACTTCCTAAGACTTTCAGCGAAATATCTCATGATCACGAGATAGATTTTACTAACAGCCAAGATAGAATCTAACAGTTTTGCTTTTGTTTTGTTGTTAACCAGGATGCTGTGCAACCTATTTGGAGTGTGCGTTGAAGATGACTCTCGGCTACAACCACCAAATTTTAGCTTGTTATCTGAAAAGTTGACAAAGCCATATTAATTTTGGTGTTTGCTAAGGTTGCTGTGGTGGCCATTTTGAATCTGATTGGTGTTAAATGTTAACCAGATGTAGAGGGTGGTCACCCCTCTGAGCGTTTCATTAAAACTGGCCCAATGGTTCATGACCTATTTGGCAGATTTTGGTTCTGATCCCTTTTCTGAACCACCTCAGAGCTGACAGAGAGTCCAGTAAGGACCTGACTGTGACCCCGCTTAAAATGAAAAACATGAAGGCATCATGTCCACTAAGAAAGGACAGCATATTTTATTTTTATTTTTTTCTGGCTCTTTTTCAAAACGAAGATGAAATAAAATATAGGAATGTAGTTTTATCCCTTTTGGCCAGCAGGTGGTGCTATAGTCCAACAAATACTCCTTTTAAAAGATCCAGTTTTTTTTCCCCAATTCAAATTGACACCAATTAAATAATGAACAACATTTAATTCTAATAATCAGATAGATCAGTTTAAAGTACAAATGCTCCTGTTTGAAGGTGGACTGATGGTGTATAGTTTCCCTAAACTCGATTCAGTCACAAAAGAGGAGGGAAAAATCTGAACCCGCTACAGAATCGGGTTGCCAGTTTTGGAGTTTAGTGAAAGCAGTAAAGGCCTCGCGTTCAGTTACAGGAATGTACGGCTTGAAATAATAATCCTTGGGATCTGGGGGAGAACAAAGCTGATTTTGTGACCTCCTGCTTGGCCTCCTGCCATTATTCCCGCCACGTCTGACACACGTTAGCATCAAGGTGCTCCGTTCCACCTCTCAGATTTTATCGACTCAGTGTCCGTTCCTGGACGGTCCCTTTTCACCAAAAAACACTTAAAAAACCAAAAACTTTATTTCTTCTCATGATGCCCACACATATATGTTTTTTACTTTGTCAGAGTAAAGAAATGATTTGAAGTTTCTAATCTGTGGCCCCTCCAACCCCGAGCCCCACCTCCTCCTCTAGTTGCTGTTCTCCTCCTGGACCGGTTGGCATGTGTGCAGAATAAAAATCTGAGGCCTTTTGTCCTGCCGGGTCCAGAACTTGTCTCCGCTCAGACCCCGTTCATGGCGAGGAAGAAGAGCCACGGAGATGCGCTAAAGGTATTCAATTCCTCCTCTGCTGAGATTTTTGTACTAAATGTCCTCTTTATAATTTAGTCTGAAATGTTTTTCAGTCAAACCTGCGGCTGCTTTAACCATTCAAATCGTCAAAATGTTCAGCTGGATCTGGATTAGTGTTTTTAGTTTTCGTAACTTTTATACTTTTTGAATAGTTTAACTTTACAAAACTTTCACTAATAAAAAATCTGAAATTTCTCAAATCTACTTGCGCAAATACTCTCGTTTTGTCTTTCTTTTATGGTTTCTTTATTTTTATTTATTTATTTATTTATTTGCTTTTTTATCTTTTAGCTATAGCTGTTCTACACTGTGCTTTTAGGTACTCTTTTGTTAACTAACTTTTTAGCCATAGTTTTAATGATTTTAGCTATTAAGTATTAGTTTTTCTTTTTGTAGATTTTACCCAATGTTCGGCTAGTTTTAGCTTTTAAATACAGGTTTGCTAATTTTAGCATTAAGCTACTGTTTTGCTAATTTTAGCTTTAATTAACAATTTAGCTAATTTTGGGTTTTAAAAATGCTGAGCTAATTTTAGCTTTTAGATTTAAGTTTTCTTATTTTAGAAATAGTTTTGTTGTTTTCAGCTTTTAGGTATAATTTTGCAGACTGTTTTTTTTTAGCTTTTAGCTATGATTTGTCCAATTTTAATTTTTAGCCATTGTTTTTGGTTTTAAACAACTTGTTTGTTATTTTTGCTTTTAGATGTAAGTTTGCTAAGTTTAGCTTTACGCAGATGTTTTGCTAATTTTTAGCTCCTAGCGATGGGTTTGCTTATTTAAGCTTTAAATAAATGTTTTGCTATTTTGAGCTTTTAGCTCCAGTTCTGCTAAGTTTAGCTTTTAGCTGCAGTTAATATTATTATTATTATTATTTTTTTTTTATTATTATTATTACTATTACTATTATTAAAGTTGTGCTAATTTTAGCTACTTTGATAACTTGAGAATTTATGTATAGTTTTGCTAATTTTAGCGTTTAACCACACTTTTGCTTCGTTTAGCTTTTAGTGACTGGTTTGTTGATTGTAACTAGGCTCTTCTTATTGTATATTTTACATTCACACACTGGATCATTTACAAAAAAATGGAAAATGTATTTAGTTGTAACTTTCAGTAAATTATTTATTTTGCCTGATCGTCATACAGACGCACGATTAGCTGACTCATTTACTGTTAGCTGAGTGTTGTTAGCAAGCCTGACCTTTAGACGGTTAAATAAGTAAATATATAATCTTAAATTATAATGATACATTTACAGTTGGGTGAATGTTAGCTCACTGTTAGCATAGTAGTGTTAGCAGGCCAGATCTTTACATATTTATAGTTAGCTGTTAGTTGAGTGTTTGCTAACTGTTAGCATATTTTTAGTCAAGTCTTAGCATAGTGTTAGCTTAATGTTAGCATAGTAGTGTTAGCAGGCCTAATCTTTAGACAGATTTACAGTTAGCTGACCATCAGTTAAGTGTTAGCTAAGTGTTAGCTGACTGTTAGCTGATTGTTAGCTAAGTGTTAGCTGACTGTTAGCTGACTGTAAGCTAAGTTTTATTTGACTGTTAGCTAAGTATTAGCTGATTGTTAGCTGACTGTAAGCTAAGTTTTATTGGATTGTTAGCTAAGTATTAGCTG